AAGATATATATATATATATAATTGTTGTTAGTGCTTCTTCTTCCTGGTTTGTTGACTACTTCAAAGATTATATATATAATTGTTGTTAGTGCTTCTTCTTCCTGGTTTGTTGACTACTTCAAAGATATATATATATATATATATATATATAATTGTTGTTATTCTTGTACAGCATAATAAAACTACACATTCACATGCCTTTTGCACGTAATACACGAGAGATAGATTGATAAATGAGTGAGTCGTGAGTGAAAGGAAATTTGAGTAAATTTGTCTCACTTTTACCGTAAGTAGATTGCAATGTGCAGACTCTCATGAACAGTTTGTGAAGGGGATTAAATGAAACTTTGTATGAAGTATTTTCTTGAAATTCTTTCTTGTTTCTGAACTCAAACTAAGTTTGAAGTAGGTTGCTGTCATTTGCTTCAATGTGGGAAAGTTCATTGGTACATAACTTATATTATATGTGAAATGTAGTCTATAGGTAGGATCTATCAAAAGCTGTGCTTCTTTTCTGTGTTCACAATCTTTCATCCTTTTTAAAAATTTCACAGAATTTTGATTACTCCTGACAAAGTCGTATTTTAAAAAAAAATCTCCCAAAGTCTACCTCTTCTGTCTTATTCCTCTCTGTGGTGGAATCATTCACTCTGTGACCTCTGTGAACTTTGAGGAGGTTGAAATGTTTTTGGTGCTTCGTGTCTGAAAACAACTAGTTTCATCGCGTGTTGTAGAGAATATTATGTCTCTGACATTAAATGTGTCACAACGCGGTGGAATCAGGCGCTTGTCCATTTTTGGGCATTTGAAGTTAATGGTATTATCTTAAAGCTTGTTCATTTGTCTCACCCACGATGAAAAAAATACCCATCTGTCTGGAATAGAAGCGGAGATATTTCCGATTGAAGAAGGTGGGGTCACCTGGTTTCAGAGGTAAAGTTATCAAGAAAATAACCGCCAAAGTTTAGTAACTTCAATAGCTGGAAAGTCCTTAGGAAATGAAAATTACATTTTTTGTACCTTAAATCAACCTTTTTAAAAGTAAAATCCAACTCAAAAATGTGTTTTTGGATAAAAATAAAAGGTGTTGAGCCAAAAAAAAAAAAAAAAAAAAAAATCCATAAAAATTCCCAAACTTGTGGGAAAATGCCTGTTTCTTCAATTTCAATATTTTGATGAGCGCCTGATTTCACCACAATGCTTCACAAATTGTGAGTGTGAATTGTTGGTTCAGTCATTTGCATTGTGAGTGTGAGCCCCTGGTACAGCCATTGGGGTAGGTAGTGAGTACGAATTGCTGATTCAGCCATTGAGGTAGTGAGTACGAATTGCTGATTCAGCCATTGAGGTAGTGAGTACGAATTGCTGATTCAGCCGTTGAGGCAGTGAGTACCGATTGCTGGTCCATTGGTTGGCATAGTGAGTGTCATGTCTGCCTATTGTATGTGTTTCCACAAAAAGCAATGTTCTGGGGAACGGGGCCTTCTGTCCCTTCCTTTAAGCAAGTGCCTACTCATTGAGTACGATGCAATCATTGACCAATTGGTGTGCCGGCCTGTTGTTGTTGTTGTTGTTGTTATAGTTGTTGTTGCTGTTGTTGCTGCTGCTGCTGTTGTTGCTGCTGCTGTTGTTGTTGGACCCCCCCCCCCCCCCCTCAACCGTAGCAGGACCGATCAGTGTGGAGAGTTTGGGACAGCCCACTCAGCCCACCCACCCCATGGTTTGTTTTATCAAGAGTTTTACGCCGTTTGTGCTGCAACGAAGGCAGGATATTTACGAGGAAGAACTTCCTGAGTCAGTCGTATGTTTGGGAAAAAGTTACTTGCTACTCGGTTACTTGGTTGGAGAACAGATGGTGTCAATGTAGGCATCTTTGGGGAATAGAAATCAGGGAATAAATCTTAAGTCAATTCATACTTTGTCATCATATTTGGGGAAAATTCAGAGAAACATCGCCAATCGGCGAGATGATATGGTAAAGTGTTAAGGGTGTCTCTTCAGAAATGCCGATGGTCTTCAGAAATGCCGATGGAAAAAGATTTGTATTGGGCCTGTCTGCTCTTCCAAGTGGTTTACCAATTGAGCAGAAAAGTTTTAAGTTAAAGTCACTTTCCTTTATTAATGTCATACTATGTCTGTTGCCTTGGTCAGTCCATTGCGCTTTCTCACTCTTACGTAATATGTCGGTCTGTGCTTTTTGTCTATGACTCTGAGGCTTTCCTGACAAGCGTATGTGGTGTAGGAGTTAAAAGCTTTGCTGTGGCTTGCAGAAAAAAGTGAGTTTGGTTTTCAGATGGGGGAGAATGTTTTATCAATTATCCCCGGCCTTCTACTGGGATGATGTATCTTTCTCCTTCTCCTCACTGTCCGTGCGGGTTGGCCCTGAGTGACAGGCAGAACTGAAGCAACCAGCCTCCTAAATGATCTAAATTGTGTGGATGTGGGTGTTTAAAAAACTTCTACAGGTACATTACAATGCTCTGCTACGAGACATTTTGTAGAAAGAGGAAGAAAAGATTACGCACGCGGTAGACCAAGGTAACAAAATCTCACATGGTGCATACACAGTTACAATGGAAAATAAAGATGTTTGTGGATGTAATTCACTTACTTGTGGGTGGGTGAAGGAAGGAAGGAAGGAAGGAAAGGGACATGTTTGTCTTTCACTTTCACCCCGACTGTAACGTACAAGCAAACCATTATATTATGATGGGTTTTGTACTGTGTGTTGTTTTTGCCTACATATAACATATCACAACGCGCATGGTGGCTTCTGTATGTTCTTTTTTTCTACACGTATCACAACACATTTGATGGGTGCTTTGTTGTTTTTGTCAACATATGTGAAACATCGTGGTGAAATGAGGCGCTCGTCAAAAAAATGTAATCGGAGAATCGGGCATTTTCCCACCAGTTGGGCAATTTTTGGTCAAATTTTTGGTTTTTGACTCTACCCATTTTTTGTCAGTACAAAAACTTGTGAATTTTACTGAAAAATGTTGATTCAAATAAACTTAAAATCACAAAATATGTCATATTTCAGATTTCAAGGACTCTTTAGCTATTGAAGTTACCAAACTTTGGTACAGTAGTCATTTTCTCACTAAGTTCACCACTGAAACAAGGCTACCTCACCTCCTTCAGTCACAAATATTTTGACTTCTATTCAAGATAGATGGGTTTTTTTTTCTTCATTAAAATTGAAA